TGCTGATGAAAATCAAAAGTGGCATATCTACTCAGCTTCTTCTGAATCCGAAGATATTCTTGGTCCGCTTTACACTCTAGAGATGTGCATGACCTGTCTGGACCAGAAGAAAGCATCCGTATTTTACAAGACTGAGTTGAGCTCTGCTGCAATCATGACTGAAGATTCTGGCATCAGGAAGATTCTTCCGGATTCTGAGATTTGTGATTTTGATTTTGAACCTTGCGGTTACTCCATGAATGCTATTGAAGGGGATGCTGTCTCTACCATTCACGTCACACCAGAAGATGGCTTCAGCTATGCAAGTTTTGAAGCAGTCGGATATAATTTCAATCTGTTGGATTTTTCTCAACTGCTTGAGAGGGTACTGTCTTGCTTTCAACCAGCTAAGTTTTCTGTAGCTTTGCATTCTAATGCCGGTAGGATGGAACTGGATTCGGAGTTCACTTTTGATGTGAAGAAATACATTTGTGGAGAAAGGAGCTGCAAAGTGCTTGGTAATGGTGGATCAATAATGTATAGTAGCTTCACTCTCGATAGTTGCGGGTCTCCCAGATCAATTCTGCATCGCTGTTGGAACGAGAACGAGGATGAGGAAGTTGGGATGAAGTAGTTACCATTTAGTTGTCATTTTCGTGTTGCCTTAAATTTGATATTTTAGTCGAATCGGTCGAAGTATGAATAAAAAGTTTACTTAAATAGCTCCATTATGTTTTTTAGTATAAGCAGGTCTTGATTGTTTAAATTTTTTTTGATACAAAAATGGGTTTATCGTTTTACCTTGATATTGAATTAATATATATAGCATCTATGTTATCCATGGCTTTCAAAATATAATGTTAAGGTGCGTGTATTCTTTTCGTTTTTTTTTTTTTGGGTCTATTTTAATTTTTTAGAATACTATGTTAAGGAGTAGGTCTGGGGAAGCGACTGGAACAATCGATCAAAGAAGGAGTGACCTCTGAGTTGGGTCTTTCTCGTTATGCTCTCTCATAGTACCTGGGTGTTTGTATTTTTAATTTGAGTGAAAATAAGCAAGTAAGATGAGTACAATGATCTATAAAAAGAATATGATGCCAATTAGTAATGTTTATAAGTCACTTTTTTATGTAAGCTATACAATTGACAATGAAATTTACCAAATTCAAGAAAATAATTTCCTTCTCTTGAGCATTTGCTAGATGGTTCTTAAACTTCGAAGATGCTAGCGTTCGTTTTGGACACATTTTTAAATTGAAACTTTTTGAAAAGTCTAGGAAACATTTCAGAAACTCTAAATTTTTCTTAATTTTTTAAAATAAAATTAGTAAACAATGAGAAAACTTTATGAAAGCTATCGAAAATATTTATCTAAAATATTTGAAAACTTACTTTCGTGGGCTTCGCGATCGAGAATTACTTGATTTCAATCTCATACTTTAATACTTGTATTTCAATAAAATTAACTAGTGATCAGAGTTTGCATTAATACTAATAGTTTTTCAAAATAAAAAAAATTCAATTTATAAAAGTACATTATAATTCTTTGTATAACATTTTCACAACATTTCTTATCTGAACTTTTTTTAGAAATAACATTTCCACGTATCACATCGTGTCGCATTTCATTTCCCATATTCGTTTCTGTTAAATAGAGGTGATCATGTCATGAAATGGAACAATAACCTAATAGATAATCCCCATCAACACCAAAAGGTAGAAGTAAAAAAGAGATAATGAAAATACATAAAAGATCATATTCCACCATTTAATTACGTATACACTAGAAGTTCCTATATAACAGGATATATAGTTACTACTTAGAGTCGATCAAAACCATTGATTTTTCCAACTTCTCCCTACCCTAATGGCCATGAACCGGTCTTCCCTGAGATGGAGGAGTTACTTTGCCATTTGGAACTGCCTTTGGATTGGCTTCTACTGCTATAAATTCCCACAAACTATCCCATAAGCATCAAACTGAAAGATATAAACATATTTGTTTTGTGAGTGCATTTCTTTGACGAAGCAAAAGATGGATAATTCTCAGAATATCAGTCACCAAGCTGGTCAGGCCAAGGGCCAAGCTCAGGTGAGCCTATTATATTTCGAGCTAATTCCCTTCCCGTCTGAGATAAACGACAAGACCAATAAGTTGATCTGGGTTCCGTTATCAACTTCTA